GGAACAAGACAATTAACATTTTAAAAAAAGGTGAAAAAAAAACAATTGAATTGTGATAATGTAAGTGCATATTATCTAATGAATTTTATTTTAACCCTTTATAGGGCAAGTTAGACTTTTTGATCACTTGCACCCCCCCCCCTAACAAATAGGAGATCCATCTGGCCAGTGAAAGATATATAAACCTAACAGGGAACGGCCTTGATGAACTCAACTTGTTTTTCCTCCAATTGTTCTTGTGTGAGAAAGTTCTTTATGCAGGGGGTGGGATGGTTCCCCTGGGGGGAGTAAGGTATAAAAGTATGTAGTGAGCTTTGCCCAGTCAGAGCTCTATCTGGCATATTTAGAGGACGTTAAATATGCCTCAGCTTTCTAACTTCACATGTACCAAACAAAATGTGTTTCTTTTCACAAATTTCTTCTAAAAGCACTTTGTTATTATTCCTAATATATTTGGGCAAGTTGGCATTTCCTGTTATTACATCGAAATTCCTTTTTGCCATCAAAATATCCATTTTTTTTTGGAAATGGATATTTTCAAAGTATTTCTCTGAGTGCCCTATAAAGGGTTAAGGATAAAACTTCTCATTCTAGTGGGAATAATCTACTTAAATTAGGGGTAAATAAACTTAATGTAAGAAAAGTTCAGTTACTTCTTGATGCCTTTTGCAGTTCAGACTCTGAGCTCAGGTCTGAGGCTCATTAATTCCATTTCCTCCCTCAATCAGGACAGATTTCCTCTTAGAAATAAGTGAATCCAGAGAACTTTCTGTTGCCTTCAAGCTGAAACGCATCTTTTCTCCACAGAGACCAAGCAGGAGTTGGAGGACCTCACAGCTGACATCAAGAAGACAGCCAATAAAGTTCGCTCAAAATTAAAAGGTAGGACTCCTTCCCAGACACTAGCCTACGCGCTCTGATGCTGACGGGTTCCTCGTCTCCTCAGGTGACCTGAGGAATCCAGGTGTCTTGGATCCAACAGGCTCTTTTGGAACGATTAGATTTCCTTGTTTTTCTCCCAGATTTTCCCAGAATTCAAACTGTTCTGTTTTCGAAAGTCGGGACCGTTTGCCGTCTGTTTGAGTTTATAGAGCAGAATATATTTAGTTCAGGTATAATATAAATGATTAAATTATTTTATTAAGTTCATTTCTTTTAGTTTTTGGCGTATTCATTGTTTTTGTTCACTTCCTGTTTTTTCAATTTTAATATTCCTCATTCCTAAAATTATACAACTTAATTTTTTTTAAGATGTAATGTTGTTTAGTCCTTTTATATATTTAAAGTTCTTTCTATGTTGTTTTATTTAAAAAATACAGATATTTTTTACTTTTGATTTTTCGTTCCAAATGTTTAGAAATATTTTTTTGTCTGTTTAAAAGTATTGATAAAATGCCAGCTGATAAGGAGCATCGTTAATCAGTGGTGATATCAATAAATCCTAAACGATGCTGATCTGTGGTGAAGAGCAGGTAATGTTTAATGAAACAATCATTTGTTTGTTTCTGTAGTTTAGTAGCAGCGTTATAGCAGAATCGGTCAAACGATGGGGACCTTAAAAAGTAAAATAACAGAATAAGTAATAGAGCTAAGAAAATAAACAAAATAAAACATTGTTTTTACAATAGAAATATTCTGTATTTGGAGAATAAATAACCAATATGCAGCTATGGACATTTTTACAGTAATTTGAAAATAGCAGCAACATCAGAGATGTGCAGAATGACAGCAGCAGGTTATTTAACTGACTAAGGTAGAAACTGTGCAGATTCCGCACGAATGTAACAATTTATTGAGGTTGTTGGGAACAATGGTGGTTCTAGAGTCCTCCAGCTGCTGGGAGGAAGGATCTGTGATAACGCTCCCTGGTGCATTTAAGGTGCAGCAGTCTGTCACTGAAGGAGCTGTCCAGTTCAGCACCAGNTGACAGAGCGACCCACTTAGAGCAGGAATTATACCAAGATTGTAAAATAATATGTATAAACATTTTACATTTAAGATAAAAACATTCCCTTCTGTCAATCTGCTCTATAATGCAGAACTCCTCAAGTGGAAAAGTTTTAGTTTCACCTTGTTTAATTTCTAAAATATTTTCTTTACGGAATCTTTGGCTATCTGATTATTAATCGATTAATAAAAAAAAAAATCGACAGATTAATTAATTTGCTAAATACTTGATATTTGCAGCCCTACAAATAATATATCTTTAATAGAAAAATCAATAAAATCCATTTAAACAATTAACCAATATGTAACAAAGGAAAGGAAGAAGATCAAAGGATCCAGAATGTCTTTGATGTTTGAGTAAACATCTGAAACAGAATCAGTGACAGAACGTTATTGATGAGAGCAGCTGCTGATTGATCGTTAGCGCATTGATGAGCCTGTTAACTGTCAGCGTTTGTTGGGGCTCTGATGACTCACCTGCTGACTGATGGGAAAATAAAGATCTGACGGCAGGTGTCCCCATCAATCAGCTTCATTAATGCTAATTGGTTAACGATCAGCCAATTAAAACGCTCTGATGGCACTTATGCCATTAAAAGGCTTGTTTTCTGCCAGTATTTGAGTTTTCTCTGATGATCTCTGGCAAAAATGTTCCTCTGAAGTAATTATATCAGCTGACAAATGGACCTGAAGCTCTTTCACTATCAGAAACAGCTACAGATCATCAGTTTAGGCCTCTGCTGAATATTCAATGTCAGACCGATTTCTCAGCATCCACACAGACGATGATACAAGCAGACATTAGTGGGTCGAACACACAGGCAGGCAGCCTGCAGTCAGAGCTGCAGCAACGCCCCGCTTGGTTAGGGAGCCGCAGCCAAGCGATGCAGCGCGGCGGTCAGAGAGGAGCAGGGTGAGTCAGAGGTAGAGGAGGCTGAATGGCACTGCAGCGCTCGTAAATCTGACTGCACTGCTGCAGTTTCAGCTCGCCGTTTCCAACATGGCTGACATGATGAGGTGTTAATGCTCGTCTTCCTCGCCCTCTGACCCTCAAAGCTTTTCCTCTGCTGCAGGTCCAGACGCACAGCTTCAGTCTGCAGACGCTCAGCAAAAAAGCTGCTTCATTAACAATTTAACAACCTAAATCTTACATTTGGGAAATTTTCTCTTCATAAAGTTAATAAATAAAATTTGCTGCTTTTTCTGTGACCTGGCCCCAGAGAAGCAGCACACTGCAAAAAAATCTAAACCAGATTTAATAACAAAAATAGGGCAACAGAAGCAAAAATCCCAAAACATAAATCCCCATAATAAAAAAAAAATACAGAAAAACAAACATAAATTGGATAAAATGACGATAAACCAGCAACAGTGACTGAACAGGAGGTGCATATATGAGAGATAGGCTACGTTCACATTGCAGCCTAAGTGACCCAAATCCGATTTTTTTTGCCCATATGTGACCTGGATCTGATCTTTTCATGGCTGTTTGAACGACACAGATCTGATTTTTTCCAATCGTACCCAGGCCACTTGGCTCTGTGGTCCTGAATCCGATACGAATCTGATCTTTTCAAATGCGACCTGTGTGTGAATGTTGGACCTGAACGTCATTAATACCCGACATAGGTCACTGTTCTGCATCTTGCTACACAGAAGCGGCAAGAAAAACAAAATCCATGGCAGATGATGATGCGGAAAATAGTATTTATGTTTAATTATATTGAAAAGATTGTGTTTTTATGGTTGGAAAAGACCGCTAGGTGCGCGCCGCCGCCGCCACTACCATCCATGTTTACTTCCAGAAAAAAAGAGCACGCTGGCCTGTGACATCATTGCGTCCTCTACTGTGCATGTGGGACACTTGTGTTGTATGACTGCAGTTCACACAGGAGATCACATACAAGTCGCATATATTTGGAAATACGAACAGCAACGTAAAAAAAAAATCGGATTTCGCAAAAAAATCGGAATTGAGCATCAAGGCCTGCAGTGTGAATGTAGCCTTAGAAACAAAGACCAGGCTAATCAGCAGATTGGGAGCAGGTGTGGACAGAGGAGTCTAGAAGGGAGCGAGGGAAAATAGACTGACACAAGAGGGCAGCAGAGGGCAAACAGGAAATACCTGAGAACCAAAATACAATCTAAATTAACTAGAATGACACAAAATGGAAATAAGACCAATGAAAACTCAAAGATAAAACATAAACAGAACCAAAGCCATGAGAAAATACGCCTTTGCCAATGGAACAAGACAATTAACATTTTAAAAAAAGGTGAAAAAAAAACAATTGAATTGTGATAATGTAAGTGCATATTATCTAATGAATTTTATTTTAACCCTTTATAGGGCAAGTTAGACTTTTTGATCACTTGCACCCCCCCCCCTAACAAATAGGAGATCCATCTGGCCAGTGAAAGATATATAAACCTAACAGGGAACGGCCTTGATGAACTCAACTTGTTTTTCCTCCAATTGTTCTTGTGTGAGAAAGTTCTTTATGCAGGGGGTGGGATGGTTCCCCTGGGGGGAGTAAGGTATAAAAGTATGTAGTGAGCTTTGCCCAGTCAGAGCTCTATCTGGCATATTTAGAGGACGTTAAATATGCCTCAGCTTTCTAACTTCACATGTACCAAACAAAATGTGTTTCTTTTCACAAATTTCTTCTAAAAGCACTTTGTTATTATTCCTAATATATTTGGGCAAGTTGGCATTTCCTGTTATTACATCGAAATTCCTTTTTGCCATCAAAATATCCATTTTTTTTTGGAAATGGATATTTTCAAAGTATTTCTCTGAGTGCCCTATAAAGGGTTAAGGATAAAACTTCTCATTCTAGTGGGAATAATCTACTTAAATTAGGGGTAAATAAACTTAATGTAAGAAAAGTTCAGTTACTTCTTGATGCCTTTTGCAGTTCAGACTCTGAGCTCAGGTCTGAGGCTCATTAATTCCATTTCCTCCCTCAATCAGGACAGATTTCCTCTTAGAAATAAGTGAATCCAGAGAACTTTCTGTTGCCTTCAAGCTGAAACGCATCTTTTCTCCACAGAGACCAAGCAGGAGTTGGAGGACCTCACAGCTGACATCAAGAAGACAGCCAATAAAGTTCGCTCAAAATTAAAAGGTAGGACTCCTTCCCAGACACTAGCCTACGCGCTCTGATGCTGACGGGTTCCTCGTCTCCTCAGGTGACCTGAGGAATCCAGGTGTCTTGGATCCAACAGGCTCTTTTGGAACGATTAGATTTCCTTGTTTTTCTCCCAGATTTTCCCAGAATTCAAACTGTTCTGTTTTCGAAAGTCGGGACCGTTTGCCGTCTGTTTGAGTTTATAGAGCAGAATATATTTAGTTCAGGTATAATATAAATGATTAAATTATTTTATTAAGTTCATTTCTTTTAGTTTTTGGCGTATTCATTGTTTTTGTTCACTTCCTGTTTTTTCAATTTTAATATTCCTCATTCCTAAAATTATACAACTTAATTTTTTTTAAGATGTAATGTTGTTTAGTCCTTTTATATATTTAAAGTTCTTTCTATGTTGTTTTATTTAAAAAATACAGATATTTTTTACTTTTGATTTTTCGTTCCAAATGTTTAGAAATATTTTTTTGTCTGTTTAAAAGTATTGATAAAATGCCAGCTGATAAGGAGCATCGTTAATCAGTGGTGATATCAATAAATCCTAAACGATGCTGATCTGTGGTGAAGAGCAGGTAATGTTTAATGAAACAATCATTTGTTTGTTTCTGTAGTTTAGTAGCAGCGTTATAGCAGAATCGGTCAAACGATGGGGACCTTAAAAAGTAAAATAACAGAATAAGTAATAGAGCTAAGAAAATAAACAAAATAAAACATTGTTTTTACAATAGAAATATTCTGTATTTGGAGAATAAATAACCAATATGCAGCTATGGACATTTTTACAGTAATTTGAAAATAGCAGCAACATCAGAGATGTGCAGAATGACAGCAGCAGGTTATTTAACTGACTAAGGTAGAAACTGTGCAGATTCCGCACGAATGTAACAATTTATTGAGGTTGTTGGGAACAATGGTGGTTCTAGAGTCCTCCAGCTGCTGGGAGGAAGGATCTGTGATAACGCTCCCTGGTGCATTTAAGGTGCAGCAGTCTGTCACTGAAGGAGCTGTCCAGTTCAGCACCAGCTTCATGCATTGGGGGTGGGGGAGTGTAAATGGTACGCACAACTGAACCGGACCGCGCCAGACACAACCGAACCGCGCTAACATGGTGCTAGTCCATCAGTAGCGTTCAGCGCGGTGCGTGAGCAGACGGCCTCATCTCCTTACAGCCAGCCTCCGTCATCAGGAAACGTTCCTACCGCGCCACATTATTTCCAGTGACGATTCTGCTTAGCAGTGATGAACCTTAACGTCTGTCGTTGTTTCCTGCGTCTGGAAGCCCTGATTAGACGATCGTTTGTCGTATCCACTTCCCTAAAGCCGAATCTGTTAGTAAATTCACCAAAGGCTGCCTTCTTCGCCTGACTGTCCACAAACTTCCTGAATGTTACGGGCGCCGCCATGTTGGTTTGCTTGTTTACGTCCAGAGAGCAGTAGTACCGTAGATCGCCACTAGGATGCGAGGAACCGTGCTAGCTTGGTGCGTAAACGGTCGTAAGGAACCGAGTTAACTGATCCGAGCTCAGTCTGAACTCGGCACGGATCGGTTTCAGAGCATAGTGGAAATGCGGCTATCATCCAACAGAGATCTTCATTTAGGATCCGTCTGTTTCCTCCTGCTCTGAGTCCAGAGGGCATCCAATCAGAGCTGGGCTTCCTGATCAGCTGATCCAGCCGCTTCCTCTGAGCTACAGATGAGCCGCTGCTCCAACAGACAGCTCCACAGAAGATGGCTGATGCCACAGCAGAGTCAGAGCAGGTGTTCAGCAGCGCCCCCTGCAGTCCAGAAGACCTCCGTCTTCTCAGCAGGAAGAGTCTGCTCTGACCTTTCTGATCCAGAGCTCAGTGTTGGGAGTCCAGTTTGTTATTCAGATGAACACCTCGGTGCTTAGAAGGTGTCAGTGGGACGGATCTGTTTCTGTGAAAGTCCACCAGCTCCTTGGTTTCCCATCAGGAGGAGGTTCTGCTGGAACCAGACCACCAGGTTCTGGCTCCACTGTCTGAACTCTGAGAAAACAGTAACCAATCATCAGGGTCCAAACCAGGAGTTTGATTTATTTTCTATGATTTTAATTGTGATTATTTTTCTTTTTGTGGCGTTATGAACAATGAGAATAAGCTCTAATTAAAAGGCTCACAGTTTACTGAGCAGTGAAGCCGTGTCTCCAGTTCATGATGGTTTCTGTCAGAGAAAACAGAGCTGATTGTTTTTCTTCTAGCTGCGTTCATATCTATTCTCCCTCTGAAGATGACCATGCACGCTGACCTTCAGCTGCAACATGGAAATATTCAGAAACCGAAGCAGCAATTTATCAGCAGGAGAGAGAAAGAGACAGAAGCCAATAAGCTTAAAGCTACAGAGACGGAGAGAGAGCTGCTGCAGCACTGGTCCATACAGGAAGTTCAAGGACATCCCTGCTTTAATGTGAGCAGCCAGTAGATGGACTTCACTCACACACAGGGTGTAGATATGCAGACTTAGAATAGCAATGCAGCTATAATTGGAATCCCCAGCAGGCAGCAGAGTGCTGTTGTCCCCACGCTGACAGAAACTGCAGCGTCCCTTACTGTAGACGTGAAAGCCCTCAGGAAGGTCTGCAGAATTCAGGAAGTGATCATCACCATGTCTGACCACCTGACTGTGGAGCTGGGAGCTCGTTCAAGCAGAATCAAACATCATTAGCAGCATCCAGACGTTCAGCTCATAATTAGGAAAACCTCATTAGCAGCTGCTGTTTTACGCTGACATACGACAATAAGCACCTTTATCAGCGTGTGTCAGATCAGATCAGAGATCAATCTGTCCCATTAAACAGCCAATAAATAATAATAGAGAGAGCAGGAACGCTGCTTTACAGAGAGAGATGTTTTTAAAGTAAAGACATCTTCAATCCAAAATCCTCCCAAAGCAAAACCACGGTTTATTTTCTGAAACATTTACACAATAATGCCAATCTCCAGCTGTCAGTGGGTGAGAGGCGGCCTCCATCTTGGACAGGTCACCATTCCTTCACAGGGCAACACAGAGACAAACAACCATTCAAACTCACACCTAAGGAGAATTTAGAGAAGCCAATTAACCTAACAGTCGTGTTTTTGAATGTGGGAGGAAGCCGGAGTACCCGGAGAGAACCCACGCATGCTCAGGGAGAACGTGCAGAAAGACCCCGGGCCGGGAATCGAATCCGGAACCTTCTTGCTGCAAGGCAGCAGTGCTACCCACTGCGCCACTGAGCAGCCAGCATTTAAATCCTTTCTATTTTATCACTTGTCTGTGTCAATCTGTTCCGGAAATGGGATGCTACGCTACGTCCAGGAGCTAACTTTTCCAGTTTTGGATTTTAACATAAATCTAGTCTTTCTAGTCTTTTATGTTTTCCTTTCGTGTTAAAATCACGGTACATGGTGCTCAGTGTTGTTTGTT